CATATTTCTCGTCAGAAGCCGGCCAGAGGCTATTATGATTACTAATTACTAGTGTGACTGAGTGCAAACTTGGTGTCGTGTGGTTCAGTTCGTGGAAGAGTATGCAAATGGATATCTGAGGAGTATGTGCAGCTTTGCTCGGATGCTTAGCGAGAAAAAATGCAATTAACTGGTGTCAGGGGGAAGGTCAGTTTGTGAGATCACAGTAAGAAGTTGGGTTTATTGTGTGTGTATATGTTACTCTAAAAAGGATACATAAAAAAATGGTATTAGGTTTGGGGATCTTCAAATTTGCGTTATTTTGAGAAATAACATGTTTTGTCAATGGATGTAATTTTCCTAAATCAAATTAGAATACAAAAACAAAAATAAATGCTGACTAGTAAAAACAGGGTAAACGGTGTATCTTGTTTGCAACGTAATTATTTTAAAAAAATTAGCTAAGTTGTGCTCGTGCTTGAAATATATTGCTAATCCATTCTTACGTCATGTTGTGCTCAAGGTTAAATGAATGTAAGTAATATATGTAAATTGCAGCAATCTGTAACTGTATGTCTTGCTGTTGCAGGCACTATACCATGGCAAATTCATAGACAGTGGATTCACATTGCCTTTCTATAAGAGAATGTTAAGCAAGAAGTTGACAATGAAGGATTTAGAGACTATAGACCCTGAGTACTACAACTCACTAGTGTGGATCAAGTAAGTGGACAAATATAGGGAATGTAGCAGGAATGTGACGTCTGGCATTATATTATATTGCATTAATTAACCTGTAACTACGTGATCATCGTTTAGATATCTTCCTACTTTCTTATACTAATTTACAATTGTTAAATTTTATTTGTTGCATATATCTAAGCCAGTATTCTTGATTCGTCATAAGGGTATCGACCATACGAGAAAGCAGTTTTTCTGCGCAAAGCTTGTTAAAGAAACTAAAGGTTGTGGAGGCCCTATATACTCCATGAATAGAGCCAAAGGGACAAAAGCTATACTGAATCCTATAGACCTAAACAGCAATGTGCCAGAGACACTCGTTTATTTTTCTCATGTGCTCGTTTCATTGTTTATGTTCTCGTGGGAGCAAATGTACAGTGTGATTGCCTGAACTTGGCTGCAGCATTACTGGGCAATAGAGAAGTGCACTCGCCAATGTCTTGGCAAACCGAATATTGTGAAAACAAGTGCACGCTGCTACCAGCGTGTAAACACTCGCGTTAGTCGTAATGTTACTTGTGGCCATAACATTTTATTCCATACTGATGGCAGACAAATCTTTATGACACTGATAAATTCTAGCACACGTCATCGTACGTATATAAAATTACCTAGCCTGTTGCAGCTTCACGCAACTATTACAACAAATTAAATTGCTTCACACGTAAAATTTACAATTATATTGGCACTATATTTGATATTTCTCATTAAAAGATGCATTTTACATGAAACCTCATCGTAAACACCGGTCAAAGCAAACAGTGACAATATTGGTGACTGTTACCTCTTTTGCCAGGTCTGGGAATGAATGAATCGATGAGTTCCAGTTATAATGTTGGCCAGGGTGCTAGGATGTGGTTTTGTCAATGCTAGTATTACTATTATCATGTTGTAATATTAGTTGTAACACTACGTTGATTCTGACAACGGCTATCAGAATGAAATATCACATGTGTATTTCTGGATTCACTGAAAATAAACAGCTTCAGTGGTCAGAGAAAGGCTTTTTTTTAATCAAATTCGCAATGGCATCAGTGCTGCCATCTACCAGGTCAACTGTAGATTTCTTTGACACTTGACTGGAAACATTTTGTTTACATGGTTACCTTACGTTGTGTCTTTTAGGGAGAATGACATTGAAGAATGCGGCTTGGAAATGTTCTTCAGTGTTGACTTTGAGGTTCTGGGTAAGATTGAATCACACGAGCTGTCAGCTAATGGTGCTGACCTTCAGGTCACTGAGGAGAACAAGGAGGAATATCTAAGGTATGTCAGCTACAGGCGCCTCCTCTAGTCACAAACACGAAACAGTTCATTACCTCCGCCAAGGCGGCAGGCAGCAGCGATGCAGCGATGGCAGCAGGCGGCGGTGGCAGGCGATGGCGGCGGGCGGCAGCGACGTGGGCGGATAGTGGTGATCATGTCTGCTCGAGCGTCGACGACGACGGCCGCTATTGGTGCTCTTGTAAATGCTGGGTACATACAATTAAAGCCAGCGAGAATCGCGCGTCGCCAACCTGTAAATGAGACCTCTTGTTTGCTCAGTTTTCGATGAGGCGGCACAGCGAGATTTAATATCGCAGCAACTCGCATCGCGTTAGTCAAAACTGAGATTTCGATCGGCTGAATCGCGCGAACGAGGATTTTTATTTTCTCTCGTTAGGTGGTGCACTGAGTTGGGGTGTGGTTGTCAGCGTCTGCTTACGTGCGTACCTATGAATCAGCATGAAGTCGCTGCATTATTAACAGGTCTATCAGTTCACAAGGACAATGATGTGTGGGTGCCAGTAGTGAAGCCTACAGTCGTAGACAAAGTGAAGCAAATATTTCACCGTGAATAAGTGAAGCGATCATGTCGTAAAATGAAACATCCGCGTGACCAATCATTTATGATCGTAGAGTGAGGCATCCATTAACCAAATGATCACGTGCACAATATGGTGTCATAAAGTGAAGTATTCATAGATAATATGATCGCATACAATGTTAATGAGACATTTGTAGACATGGCCATCAATGTTGAGGTGACATAAAATGACACTTTTATTAACGAATTATTATGTACATTGATAATAAACCGAAATATCTATAAAAACATGTGACCATGTACAATGGGGGTGATGTTAAGGTAAAGCATTCATATATACAAAGAGAAGCAATCTTGTACAATGAGATGACATGAAAGAAATACATTAGTGTACAAAGTGAAGCAATCATGTACAGTGAGAGGAAAAATAAGTAGGAGGAGTAAAATAAAATCTCATAGACAAAATGAGATGGAATAGGATAAGTCAATTTCTGACGGGCAAGAATCATCCTTTCTTATGCTATCGGCAAAACGTGCGCATGCCATCAGTGGTTGTGGCTTGTGCGTCTGCGAAGAGACGCTAACAGCGCTCGTTACGTAGGAAGTGTTGCTGCCGCGTTAAGGCCAAGACACACTGCAGCGACAACGACCGACCGTAACGACAAACGACAACAGTCGTGGCGACTGGCGCAGCCACACTGCAGCGACAACGACCGACCGTAACGACAAACGACTTTTCAGAAAATTAGAAACTATTGTTTCCTATGAGCCATTGCACACTGACGCGACGACGACCGGCGACAACCTCGACGACAAAAATATTTAGAAACGTTTCTATTTCCCAGCGACTTTCGCCGGCAACACGTTACAAATGGCCAATCACAGCCATTTCCATCGGCACGTGACATCGCCATTACGTCATAAAATTATAAACCAATGCTAGCCAGGAAGTAGACTGGTCCCCAGCGCTAAACTCGCACCGCCTGTCAGAAACAGTGGGGACGCGAACCCATCTAACCAAAACGTGAAGGCTACGTTCAGGCATCAGACGTTCGTATTACTATACCGTATACGGTATAATATGCTACGTATATGTTACTTTATTATATTATCGTTATACATAGAGCGTTTTTACAGACACTAATTTATTTAAAAGCAGCAGCAGGAGTTTTTTGCCGTTTGCTCATGTGTGCGACTGGCACTGGCACTGTGGTGAGTGCTGGGTGTTAGGCCGCCAGCCCGCCAGCGCACATGTTCCGTCGCGACACATGGTGAAACATTATCTTAGCCATTCGTGAGATTTATGAGAACCATTTAATATAAGCATTCGGACTAGTGGCTTGAGTTTATATATATTATATATATATTGTCATCCCCACGGCCCACCTCGCATGGTCTTGTAGGTTGAGGACGAGGTAGGAGTGCAGGATGGGAGCTAAAATAACCACTATTCTGTTGCAGCTGGCTACGCTTATAGCTTTACTAATGTATGATTGTATCATTTACACGGAGCGAGAGAGCGTGAGCACTAATCGTTCATATAGCTGGTGCAGAGTATGTCTCTTGAGCAACACATTTCCGGAGAAAATGATACTTTTAATACTACTCCTCTTGCGGTGCATTGTGAATTTCATGCAATGCCTTTCAGTATCATATTCTAACTATTCGTTTCAGATAATAAGAATAAAAACGAAGACAAACTGGCAAACTGCAAATGTTTGCATATAATAGTAATTCCCACTTTCTTTCTGACGCATCATGATTTTTTTGGTCTATATTACCACACCAACACTTTCATCCCCACCTTTATAGGGAGCAGTAATTGGGACACACACAAGGTTATTTGGATACATGATGCTTTGCGGGAAGGTAGAGGGGGTGGGGTGCTATTGTTTTACAATACCACATTATAAGCGTGTCGTTAGTACAAGACGTCGTCTGTCTAATTAGTGTAACTCTGACACCGATGCATCTTGTCTCTAGTGTCTGAACGCCTAACAGACTCTTCACCAGAGAGAGGCGCCGGCGCGCGGCCACGCAGCCAGTCAACACCACAGGCGGCAGCGGAGGCTGCTGCTGGAGGTAGCTCTAGGCGCAGAGCCCCACCGCCACCCCGCCCCGCCGCGCCACCTAGGGCAACCAATGGTAGTTCTAACGCTGTCCTCGCGTCGTCTGCACATGGACTGACTCCTCCTGGTACGATTCAGCATAGCTTTTCACCACAGCCAGTTGGCTCTCATGAGCAGCGTAGTTGTAAAACTTGAAAATGCACTCTAACAGTGAATATAATTAGTTAATTGTATTATGCCGGTATACACGGTGTTAAAGTATACGACCCAGTTGGACAATTATATTAATTCATCAATGGCGTATTTTTCAAATGAATAGTAATCATCCTGAATGTATTTTTGAGCTCATTACGTAAATCCCTATTCGGTTAAACCAATATTAAATTATCGTATTTCCGAGCGCGCTCGCATGCGCCATGCTTCACATCCTCTCGTCAATATCATGCGTGCGTATTTCAATCTTGCAGCAGCTGCCTCGTCGGCGCGCACCGGCCCCACGTCGACCACCACCACCACCACCACCACCACCACCACGACCCCCACTCGACCCGCAAACTCTCCCCCGTACCCGGCGGCAGGGCATGAGGCGGCCATCCCGCAGCCGGGGGATCCCGGCCAGACAGATGAGGACCCGCTGCCTCCGGGGTGGGAGGTGAGGCACGACCAGTACGGCAGGAGGTACTATGTCGACCACAGCACGCGCAGCACGACGTGGGAGAGGCCACAGCCGCTGCCTGAAGGGTACGTGACACCTCGTGCGTGCGTGCGCGTGCGCCGTAGCCAGGGCACCCGCTTTCGCAATTAGCGATGGAGTTAACCTGGTTGACATAAGCTTTCCATCAACATACTGCTGATGAAATTTCTTTGTTCCTACTCGTGTTTGCGTGCGGATCCGGTCATTCACTTCACTTTGTTTAGTCATCTACGGTTCATTGGTGTTAGCTAAGCTGTGGCTGTTATGATAATGCCGGCTTTGCTAGAGTGTTTCCTTTATATAATGTGCACATGTTTGCCTATCTCCGCATCCTTGTTTATTTCAGAAACCCTGTTTATTTTAACTGGTTTATCTATCCCAATGACGTTATATACCTTAATATATACCTTATTATACCCTTTTATATATATATACCTTATTAGCTCACCTTGACATCGTCAAGATGAGCTATTGCCATGGGGTGTCGTACGTCCGTCCGTTCGTCCTTCCTTCCGTCAACATTTGGCTACGGTCAACGATAACTCGGGAACTGTTTGACCCACATGTTTGAAATTTGGTATAGTTGTTACTGCTATGGGAGAGGTTAGAACGTCCTATTTTGGAGCACGCCAGTCGACGTACTTTCGAGCCACGGCAATTTTTTGGCAAAAATGGAAATTGCCATTAGTCAGTTCAGGTTCAACGTACTTTGCTCATTTTTGGTATGTGAATGAATAACGGCTGGCCCCAAAACGTATTACAGGGGTTTTGATATTTACAAAATAATTATGCAAATTAGGTAGGTTTTGGCAATTATATAGCATATATAGACACGCAGATAACCGTCTGTGGTGTCACACTCGTCTGGTTCGTTTTACAAGATTTCATTGACAATATCTTTAATGCAAAATTGGTATTTCTTCTCCACCCTGCCGATAAAACGTCTATATTAGAATAAAGTTTTACAAAACATGTCGGAATGCAGCATAACCTATTTATTTTGAATGCCATCGCTAAGAAACATTAAAGCGGGTATAGTGCCATCTACCATCACAAATTGTGATTTATTTTGGTTTATAAATTATTATTGCGATATACAGATCTATGGCAACCGTGTGCTACCGCTTAGAAACACTCATACGAAGTAAACACTTCCATACAACCAATTAACCTTTGACAAAAGTTGTGTTATGGGCAGGGAAACACCATTGTCACGTGGTATGTGGAATAAGCGTATCCTCTCAATCTTACGTACACGTTACACATCGGGAGCTCCGCTTTTAGGCAGTGCCTAAATCTGATATTATGATCAAATACTTGACCGCTTGGCTAGCTCAAGAAACCGTTTTGTTAGGGTTATTTTTTTTTTTTGGGGGGGGGGGTGGGGGGGGGGGGGGGGGGGGGGGGGGGGGGGGGGGGGGGGGGGCGGGGGGGGGGGGGGGGGGGGCGGGGGGGGGGGGGGGGGGGGGGGGGGGGGGGGGGGGGGGGGGGGGGGGGTTGCGATTTGTAGTCATTGTTTAGCTGTAGAAAGTGTAGTATATTTTTATGCTAAGAACTATGAGAGAATGAATTTAGAAGGTTAATAAATAGGTTACCTTTAGCTATAGTACACTAAATTCTGTTAAAACTTGGCGGGTAACTGCCCCCCCCACTGTGTGCACCTTGTTCCCATTCACTCATTTGTTGCGCCCTTTTTGTGGTGAGCTACAGTTGTCATTGACCTTTCTTTAATATACTGTTATAGCTTAAGTACTCTTCATTCGCCGTTGGTATCATTCTCACCGCATTGTATATCTCATCCGCTTGTATATCTACACCTTGTTTGTACTTCACCAATTGTCTGTCTCACCCACTTGCGCTGTCTCACCCATTGTACTTTATCTCATCGCGCTTGGTACTATGCTCACCAGCCTGTATATTTCATGCCGCCTTGTTTTATATCTCACCACCTTTGTATTATCGTCACGCACCCTTGTTTGTCTTCACGCACCTTGTATTATCTCAGCCACTTTTGTCTGTCTCACCCACCTCTGTAGCATCTGCAGTCACTTTCGAGTTTGTATGGCTTCAACCACCTTGCTTCATGTCTGCACCACTTGTACGTTCAGTCACTTTGTATGCGCTCAACCACCTTGTCTGTCTCACCTTGTATGTCTTCAGCCGCACCTTGTCATTGTCTCAGTCACTTTCAGTTTGTATGGGCCTCAACCACTTGTCTGGTCTCAGCCCATCCTTGTTACATCTCAGTCACTTTCAGTCTTGTTATGCGCTCAAACACCTTGTCTGTCTCACGCATCCTTGTACGATCTCATGTCACTTTGTATGCCTCAACACGCTTTGTCTGCTCTCAGCCACCTTGTATGTCTCACCCGACCTTGTATGTCTCACGCGTCATCTTCAGTTTTGTAATGCCTCAACACTTGATGTCTCACGCACCTGCCTGTTCTCACCCACCATGGTAGCATCTAAACACCATATCGACATTACCATCTCTTATACATTTCTCACACTTGTGAGTCTTCAGTGATTTGTTTTGCTCAACACCTTGTCTGTGTTCACCACCTTGTACGGTGCTCTAGGTCAGCTTTTAGTATGCCGTCAAACTCACTTGTCTGTTCTCACCACCTTGTACGGGTCTACAGTCCTTTGTATGGGCCTCAAACAACTTGTTGTTCACCCACCTTGTTACGTTCTCAGTACTTGTTATGCCCTCAACCAACCATTGTCTGTCTTCACCACCTTGGTTACATCTCAGTCACTGTTCGTTTGTATGCCTCAACCAGCCTTTGGTCTGTTCTCACCACATTGTACGGTCTCAGTGCACGTTGTGATATGCGATCAAACCCTTGTCTGTTCTCACCCAGCCTTTGTATGTCTCAGTCACTTCAGCTTTGTTATGATCTCTAACCACCTTGTTCTGTCTCACACCACCTTGCCACATCGCCCCCCTCCCCGTACTCACCACATTACATCTTTGTTTGTAGGCCGACGCTTAGTCTAACACGAGCGCATTTAAATTTTTGTTTATCTATATTATATTTTTGTTGTTAACTTATTTAATTATTTATTAATTGGTTGTTTGTTTCGAATCGTCGTCCGCAGCTGGAGAGCGACGCGACCAGCGCCGGCCGCATATTCACTTACGGTCGATCACAAGCACGGGCGGATCGACAAACATGGCAGCGTCCCACCGTCGACTTGATCCAGCACTACCAGCAGTGGTCAGGTCGACCGCGAGCCGCTCGCAGGCGGCAGCGATGGCAAGCAGCTGCAGCCGCCGCTTCCGTCTACGAGAGTGCGTGCGCGCTGCGTCGCGCGGCGGAGGCGGGAGTGGGGGGCAAGGGTGGATAGAAAGTGGGGTGTGGCGAGGGAAGCAGGAAGAGTGGGGGTGGGAGGGAGGGGGAATAGATTGGGGGGAAGGGGCGCAAAAGATGGGGGAGGGGAAGGGGAAGGGGAGAGTGGGGGAGACGGGAAAGGGGAAGAGTGGGAGTTAGAGGGGAAGGGTGGGGGGAAAGGCAAGAGGGGATTAGAGGGGGGGGGAGCGGAAAGGGAGAGTAGGAGCAAGGGAAAGGCAAAGAGTGGGGGGTGGGGGGAAGTGCGGAGAGTGGGGTGGGGAGGATATAGGGAAGAGTGGGGTGCGGAGGGGTAAAGAAAGGAAGAGTGGTGCAGGAGGGATTAAGGGGAAGGGAAGAGTGGGGCTGCGCGCGGAGGGGAAAGGGAAACGGGAAAGAGTTCGGGTGCGGGAGGGAAGGGAACAAGGGACAAGGATGTGGGGTGAGGAAGGGGAAGGGCGAAAGAGTTGGCTTGGGGAGTGGGAAGGGGCGGAGAGTGGGGGTGGGAGGGGAAGGAGGGACAGAGTGGGGGTATGAGGAGGAGAGAGCTGGCGGCTGGGAGGGGAAGGGGAGAGTGGGGTGCGGGAGGGAAGGGGAAGAGTTTTGGGTGTGGAAGAGGGGAAAGGGAATGACGAGTGGGTGCGGGAGGGCGCGCGCGCGCGGCGCGCTCATGGGGGACGGCACTGGGAAGGTGGGGGACGGCACCTTTATTTTAGGACAGTGAGCTACGGTAAAATCAGCGTAGGATGAGTACGAAAAGCCTGTGTGGCCTTCATTATTTCTTCTTCATTGTTCAGAGTGGCTATAATTAAGCCTCTTTGGCCAGTAATGATGTTACTTGGTTGCACCTTCCTTGACTGTAGTAATCCACGGGCAATACTGCGGCTTTGTGTTTGCATATTGCAGCAAGAGAAATGTAGAAGCCAGACGGCAGACATTCGTGGAAGTGATGGCTTTGGGCCATTGCTTGAAGGCTGGGGATATGTACGAGAACGGGGGACACACTGGACGCTAAACAGCGACACGTTTGACCACAGTGACTTGTTATTGCTCGGCGACATACAGATTTCACTCGAATTGCTGTCTGCCCAGCGGAAGGCTTCGAGTTGACTATGGGCTTACCCCCCCCCCCCCCCCTCCCCCCCCCCCCCCATGTTCATTAGTATTAGCTTTGCATTAGGGATGGTTGTGGGAAGAGGATTGGCCAGGATTATTTTGTGTTGTTAGATGCAACTCCATGATTCATGATTCAGCTAATCTGCTTGCCCATTGTGGTCTCGACTCGGTGTGCAAACCATCTCATATGTTAGACGAATCAGCTTATTGCTGATTTACTTTGATCAGAGTTTTTTTGGCCACGTTCTAGCTTTCTAGAAAACTACATCTTATTTTTGTATCGTTGCACCATTGCATGCTAGCTTTTTAATTATAGCCACCTTTTGCCGTGCAGCATATCCATACTGTTATTTGCGGCATCATGATTTCTCTATGTCAGATGGCATCACATTAGGAGGAATAATACCAAAAGGCTAAAAAGCTTAAAACAGGTATTATTTAGCTTCTGATCACTCTAGTGTTACTTATAAACTTTGCTACGGCTTGATATGGTCTATGTCCCCCCAGGGTACTGCGGAACGTACCTGGGTACGCGTCGGTAATACGGACGTACCCTGGTAGGTCGTAATGCTGATCGTACCTTGAACATCATTGCGGACCGTACTACGCCTACCACACTCAATATGTCTAGGGAGTCGCTATGCCATACTCCCTAAGCCTAACCTAACCCTACCCTAACCCTAACCTAAACCCAACCCTAACCCTAACTCCTAACAATATCAGATAGTTACCAGGGTACGTTCCGGTATACCCGGACTCGTACTCCAGTGTACGTTTCGGCAGTACTGGCTGGGACATAGGACCCTATGAGCATTACTAACGTGACCGCATCCTTTTAATTTCCTGCAGTGATGACTGCGTCACAGCATCTATAGTCGAGTCGCTGACTGACGTTAGCTAATCTTCTCTTGTAACCGTACTTGGGCTATCAGCTCTTCTGTATCTTCACTCATCCTTCCAGGTCCAATCATCCCCAGCTTCTGCTTTTTTTTATTATTCCTGTGCTTCCTTTCATTAGCTGTTCGAGCAGCGGATTGCTGTCGGACGTGTGATAAGAAACAGGTGGGCGGACGCCACGGTTTTCAAAGTGATGGGGGGCCCATTGAGTAGAATTGAAACGACCATGCGCGGAGGGCTCAGTTTTTCGGGAGCGAAGCGCCGAGCGGGGAGCCAGACGATCGAGCGGGGTGGTGTGGGAGGGGGATTCCCTTCATCGGCACGGGAGCTTTCAATTTTTGCACTGAAATGAGCGGATCTGGTGCAACATCGAAGTGAACCATTTTCAAATTTTTAAATGAAAACGAAAACGGAAGAAAACAACATCTTTTCAGTACATGCTATTTACATTGTCAACTATCAGTGAAGTATAAATATATTTGCATCAATAATGAAACATGTAATAGGAATAAGAATATAGAAATATGCGAATCATTTTTCAGGGGTACAAAATTTCCAATTTTTCAACCTGGGTAAATAGTCAAAAAAATAACAGACTGCTAATGATATTAAACACTTAAAACATCACTCGACTAGTTTTTCTTTAGTATTATCTTTCGTTGCTGAAACAGTTTTGCCTTTAAAAACCAGCTGTAGGATATTACATAAAGAAAAATCAACATATTTATTATAAAAATGATTTAAGAACTAAAGTGCAAACAAACTAAAGAAATAAAGGAACTATTATAAAATATATACATATAAAAACTAACGCTCTAGTCTATGTCCCCAGGTCTACTGCCAGGAACACGTACGCTGGGGGTACGGTCTCGGCTATTCACCACAGAATAGAATGGAAGTTCTATTTTATTCTAGAATGTCTAGAAGTCTGAGATAGTTTGACTTGCTATTCTTATTTCTGTGGGTATGGCCGCTCTGCGTTATCAGCGTGCGTTAGGACTCTGCGTGGCTCGCGCGTACTTAAGCTGTGCGTACGGTGCGTAGTGCAGTTATAAGTACAAATGTTGTGCGATATTGCAGGCCGCTACGCTAGTTTTATATGGGGGGGTTTCGTTTCAATGTTGGCATTGCTCGGCAGGCCGTGTAACATGATTTTGTACCAGGTGGGTGTAACGGCTAACCCAAAGTTGGGAGCACGCTGCAGGGGGGCTGAGGGCCCTCCCCCATAAAATTTTTCAAATTAGACTCCTTCAGATCTTTTCTTTTGCCGGCGAGCAAGGGGGGGTCCGGACTCCTCGACACCGCCCTGGTACACGCCTTGCTCGGATGGCGAAGCGGCAGCGCGAGAGGAGCCCAAGCGACACAGCGGTGGGGAGGGTGTTGGGAGATGTGCCGTGTTTCACTTTTCACCTCCCGCACAAAGGATTTTGCAATTATTACACTAAAAATTGGAGCGACCTGAAGTGAAATTCTTGCAAAATGTTCAAAAAAAATTTTGGCTTGGGGGAGGGGCGTTTCGTTCGAACTCCCGAACCGCCTGGTACGGCTGACATATGCAGTACGGTACTGATATTCGACTCGATCGAGCTCCGTAAGCACAGATCAAGCCCGAAGTCGCGCCGGTGTTGGTGTAAATACGGTCGCTGTGCATGTCTGTTGCTATGAGTTAATGGCCTGAGGATTCCTCGTCAAATTTGAAATTTTCCAGTGCAGATAAAATGTGATAAACACTCTGCTTTCGCTCTTTCCCCTTCTCTCATCTTGTTCCCTCTTTCTTTTCTTGATTTCTTCGATCATACAAATATACATATAGACATATATTTTCTGCCAAAAAAGTGGGGGGGCCCGGCCCCCCCGGCCCCCCGTACGCGCCGCCCCTGAGAAAGCTGATGGGTTTGCGTTTTTGCCTGTTCTCTGATTGCAGTCTCCCTGTCAGTATTATACTAGCTACAAGACAAATCTACTTAATGTATTAATTAGGCGGATTTGCCCCCATGTCTGTCTTAGTGGTGTGAGTGTGATTGTAATAATGAGTGATGAAGAGATCTTTACTATATTTCTCATCCATGTATGTATGGTCTTAATTGCTAAAACGGTATTAGTGAAGGCTTTTTTCAGGTAGTTGTTTCCTAAAAGAAGCGTCATTATTTTTATGAGGCCATCACAATTTGAAAGGCTGAAGCGTAATTGATATAAGTTGGGGTAGGGTGCGGATATCGGATGACACGTAATCATGTTATGAGTTAATGATAAGATGTCTTGTATTTTTAAACTTCTCCCAAGTCTTATGAACGACGACGTTATAAAGGTCATGTCCACCACATGTGGGTGCAACTAATATAATTGTCAACATTAGATTGTAATCAACAACTCTATTTATTGGAGCAAGTGCAATATAGCTAGCAAATTTCCTCCAAGTGCTCCAAAAATCTTTGCGCAATTGCACATTATCCAAGCAAGGGTGCCATAAACATCTGTGCTGATCTATGATACCTAGTTTTAACAGTCACATTAAATGACTACTGTCACGATGTTCTTAATCGAGTTCCGTAGTGACATGACGAAATACTCTCGCGTATTTCTGCTTGTTATAAAGGGTACTAGGATCTCTGTACAATGGAGAGCTGAATCTTCGAGGAAGTGACCGGGAGCTGAAACTATTGCTGGGGTCAGCTGGGGGTCAGGCCAAAACACGCGACGTTAATCTGCATATGCGCAAAGAACGGATGTTTTTTTATTTGCGTGAGATTTCTCCTCTTCCTGCTTACAGTCATTATTGCGTCGCATGCCGTGACGCTCTCTGGAACGCCTAGCGAATTAATTTCAGCTACGACGTGTTTAATTAAATGTATCGCACCCGATTAATTCAAGTTAATTAGGCGGCTGAGTATGTCTCCGACGGCCGCCGGCAAGCTGATTAATTCGCCCGAGGGCTAATTATGCTGTTTTCATTGCTGGCAGACAAGTGTGTTACCAGCCTCACATAGTACTTATACGCGTGGCAAGTCATCGTGGAGGATGCTATTGCTTATCGTAGGCGATGGTGACATGAGCCGCGTGCAAACATGCGAGACGTGCACGCGTCTGTCATGGCTGTTCTATAGGGAACGCGCCGTGTGTTGCGTGCGAGAAAATGAGATAGGTGGTGGTGCTTGATGTGTGTGTGTCAGTGGGAGATCTTTGTGCAGTGTGTAGTTTTTAGGGTGTGTGGTGTATGTGTGTGTGTGCGTGCGTGCGTGCATGCATGTGGCGTGCGTGTGTTGCGCGCACAGTGGTGTTTGTGTGCGTGTGCGTATGCGTGTCTGTGCGCGCGCGTGTGTGTGTGTTTGTGGTATGGAAGTGCAGAGTGTAGTGTATGGGAGTGTGGTGTGCAGTGTGGTGTATGGAAGTATGGTTTGTGGTGTGTAGTATATGGGATCGTGGTGTGTGGTGTATGGGAGTGTGGTGTGTAGTGTAGGAGTGGTGTGTGGTATATGGAAGTATGGTTTGTGGTGTGTAGTATATGGGATCGTGGTGTGTGGTGTATGGGACCATGGTGTGTGGTGTGTAGTGTGTAGTGTGTAGTGTGGGAGTGTGGTGTGTGGTGTGTAGTGTGTAGTGTGTAGTGTGTAGTGTGGGAGTGTGGTGTGTGGTGTATGGTTGTGTTGTGTGGTGTGTGGTGTATGGGAGCATGGTGTGTGGTATGTAGTGTGGGAGTGCAGTGTGTGGTATATCGGGTGTGGTATGTAGTGTGGGAGTGTGGTGTGTGGTATATGGGGTGTCGTGTGTGGTGTATGAGCGTGTTTACGACTTTCTCGACTGAATACTCTCAGAATAAACTGCTTTTATTGGAAAATTGGGCCTTTTTTCACTGAAATGATAAGCGATGGGACTGAGGCCACAGTTAACGTCTTGTTTTGTCCTAACTCGACGTACCTGTCAAAGTCATGGTCTAATAAATTATTATTATGAAATCGTGAAATGCTGTGATTGTTTGGTTTACTGTAAACTAGATATTATTCAGCGGTGGCCAGAAAGTAAGCGTGCAAATAACGTTCATTACAGAAAAGAGAGTGGAAGCAAATGGACGTGTATACTATGTGAATCACAAAAACAGAACCACCCAGTGGGAGGATCCGCGAACTCAAGGGTATGTAACTAGTTCTCGATTTTGTATTAAACACATTGTTTTCTTCGTCCATAGCTATCTCGGGTCTAAAGTTGAGAGTTGAATGTAGTACGACACCCAGCTCCAATTATAATACTATGCAATTCTACTATTATAAATCTATATATAATATATATATATATATATATATATTATATATATGTTATATATTATAAATCGATCTACTGTGTAACCCCCCTCCCATCCTGTAATCTGTCGACGAGCTCAAAGCTCATAATGGCTAGTTTACCGCCTCTGCTGAAAGCTAGGTCTTAAGCAAGAGGGCCGGATCCTCGCTCTGCCTTCCTCGCGAGAGGAATATTACCTGCATTTGTGAAATTGTTGCTCGGAATTTCTCGTTACCGTGAACGATAATTTGGCGTTCGGACATTTTGTTAGCGTCGTCCTGATGTTAACACTCGTCAGCGCAGACGCCGTTCCTTGACGTGCGCGCGCGTGGCATTATTAATATGCGAGTTTTTTTTGCAACGGTTTTTCGCACGATGAAGGTTTTTCGATTCATTCACACAGAGCTATACAAGAAGAGCCCCTGCCGGATGGTTGGGAAATGAGATTCACGCTGGATGGAGTGCGATATTTTGTGGATCACAACGGACGCCTCACCACATTCCAGGATCCCCGGCCGGGCGCTGCCAAAGGGTACATGCTAGTTGTCTGTTCCAGCAGAATATCTGAGTACCCCTCGTGCTCATTTTGCACTGTGTCATTTGCTAGTCTGGAAACGTGCAATTCTAAGTGGCACCATTCTACTTTGTGAGGTAGCTCTAGTGCGCAGCATGACCTTTGTGCTCTTTCACATTCAGACCATAGCAAGTTACTGTTATTGCAATGCAGTCATAGTTATTGCAAGCGCTGCTCTTTTTGTTTGTTTCTAGGCCAAAAGGAGTGTACGGTGTGCCAATAGCATACGAACGAAGCTTTAGGTGGAAACTTGGACAGTTCAGGTATCTTTGCCAAGTAAGTACTGTACATCATATTTTGCGATTGTACCACTACTATGTAAAGAAGTCTTCGTCCATGATCCTCTTCCCCTCCTCCTCCGCAATTCGTCCCAAACATTAATGACCTCCTGGAATTTCTCCCCTCTAGGGAAATCCTAGGGAATTGTAAGCGATATTGGATTTTCGAGAAAAACAGCCAAGCAAACCGATCTGTTAAGAAGCGCTAGCTTGGCGTACGGAATATTGAAATAGTCGTTGAAGCGTCAAACAAAGCCACTTCCTCTCCTCCAAATTTAATAATTGAAAAATCAAGTTAAGAGGATATTATGCTGTGAAGGCTACTGCCCCTAGCACTCCTTGCATGGTATTAAGTTTTGAAACAGTGGAAATTTGTGCAGTTTTCAAGGTTTTTTTACTGAACGGCGACTAAAATTTCAGCGAGATTATAGGTTGTTTGCATGGTTTTTATATGGGAGTGACTGAGATTTTTCACACACCTATCTCTCTCTTTCTCTCTCTCTCTCTCTCTCTCTCTCTCTCTCTCTCTCTCTCTCTCTTTCTCTCTCTCTCACTTTCTCTCTCTCTCTCTCTCTTCTCTCTCTCGCTCCTCTCTCTTTCTTTCTTTCTCTCTCTCCCCCCACCTCTCCTCTCTTCTCTCTCCCTCTCTCCAATCTCTTCTCTACCAATCTTCTCATCTCTCGTTCTCCTCCTTCTCTCGTCTCTTTCTCTCTC